GTGATATCGTTTTCATATCCCACAGTTAAGTGAATTGATGACATTACAATGATTGTTGCATTAGTGTGATGAAGTAAGATAACGTGGAGACCTAAAAAAATAGTGTTGAACATCAATTGTGAAGTATTAACCACAGAATAAAAAATCTCCCATGATTTATGTTGGATATAATTTTTATCCAATTCGTTGTGTGTTATTATCCCCGAGCCTCGTCACACAACTCGTTTGATAAAAATCATACCAACTACAAATCATGGGAGATTCGATATATATACCATAATAATTATTTTATTACTATAATATGTTATAACGCATAAAAGTATGTTTATTCTGTTTTTTTTTTATATAAATGGTCAACTTTTTATTTTTATATCTTTGCAGAGAACTAATTATCATTAGTACCCTACCAGCATTTTTGATAATTTGCATGACTGTAATAGCAGTTTTTGTTTGGAAACGAAGACAAAAATTCAAAGTACAGAAAGGTATGTATTACTTTTCAAAATTATTTTTATAGTGTACTGGTTCATGTAAATACAATGATTTTTGTCTCTTTCTTTGTGTTTCTCATGCATCAAATCTATCAAAATTAGTAACGATTTTTATTATACTGTTATATTCATTTCCAGCAGCACTAATAAAGCACTAAAACAACATTTTTCGTCTCTGTGAAAAAAGAGAGAAAAATTCAAAAACAAATCAAAAAGTCCTCCATGATTGTGAGAGGTTCCTTTGAACACTCGACATTGACCCAACAAGAAATTGCTCTTCTGAGTGTTGAATAGGGAATAAAAATTAATAATCTTTAAGACTAACTGATACAGTTTTATGTACTATATATGTTAGTCAAGATATTGAAAAAAAATCTTCGTATCGCCGTCCTTTAGTCTACAAAAATTAAATCTCATCTCAATAACTCTGTGAATGTGTAGGAAATCAAAACTGAATAGTTTTAGTCGGCAAGGCAAATAATAACACTTTTACACTTGGTGAATTAATACTTAAATAAACTGTGAATGACATGAGGTAATTACATTATAACGACATGAACTGCGTCATCATTCACATATCCAGATATTTCTTCAAAAAGGGTGGAAAATCTGTTATTTTTCAATATATCATACTAGATTTTTGAATATACTTTGTTGAAAGAATTAAATGGATTCGAAACAAGTTCTTACAACTTTCTGTTTCCTCTCCATACATATAACAATAGGTCATGTAAATGATACATAAAAATATAATATCTATGACATTTTCAAGTGATATAAACTAATAGCAAGTCAATTTAAAGTCTGCATATTTCAGTAATAAATCTATGGACAGTAGAAAAAATATAATTAGTTGATACAGTCAAATCTATATCACCTCATAGTAACAAGATTGTGTCAATTGTAACAAATTCTTGAATCGTGTACAGGTGATTGAAGAGAAACTAGCTTTTGCATACTTTCTACAAGCAAAAAAACTTGGTGACAAACATTCTTTCCACACGAACATGGAGATAACAGAACAATCAGCGATCAAGAAAACTTTAACATTCCGTAAAAGGGGAAATTTTAACGAGACGCAAATTTAGCGATTTGTCCTTAAAAAAGTAGTAATTTATTTTTAGCGAGATGTTATTTTAGCGATCTTAAAATGTACATTAAAGAAGCTTATACAAATAAAACGCAATTAATGTTTAGCAATATTCCATTTTATCGATCTCAGCCCCCTCGCAAATAATGTCAAAATTAAATTCTAGAAATTCTACTTATACGGTAATATATCTACATGTATAATAGAATATGTTTTAAGGATGCTCTAAACACTAGCAGAAACTGCTTCTTGGGTTTGGGAAAAAGTATTTTCTTCGAAAAAAGGTTAGAAATAATTCGATTATGCTGTCAAAAGCTCTCTTAAATCACTTTTAATACCCGGTCGAGAAAAAAATTCATTCGATTTATAGAGAAAAATATTTCTAACGGCAAATCATAATTATTTCAGCATAGTTTCATAACCTACATGTACTTCAAGTATGCTTAGACCGAAAAAAAACATGCTGGCCTTTACGAAAATGGTGTTAAAAAGGCCAAAATTGCGATTCAAAATGGCAGACATCCATTTTTTTTTCTAATTTTTTCTTTTCGTCGTTTAGAAGGGAGAAAAAAATGTTTGAATGTTTTACTGAGTGTTGTATATGCAACTATAAGAATTATAATAGAATGCTGATATTATTACTTTAATTCAGAAAATTTATCGGCTCTACACTTAACTCGATTTTTTTCAGATTGATCTTCATTCTTTCTTTATTCTGCCTTGTTTAGGATTATACATTTGCAAATATCCATACACTGCTGATTTGTATTTCATTCTCCGCTCTCAATATTATACAATTGAATGACGATACAGCGTTTAGTCATGATTTAATTTTCTGAAAATCTCTGCTATTGCCCATTTACAATTTTGTAGCAAACAACCAAGAACACCAATCTTATCTCATCACTCATTAATATGATGCAACATGTACCACCATATCTTTATTACACGTTCTGCCTAGAATTGTGACTGCTTTGCCTGTATTTAAATCGGATAGAAAGCGTAAATTCTAAATACACTGTAATTTACAATGCACATAATTGGAAACTGTGTATATGTTACGCAACTAAAAGACGTTTATTTTTGATAAGTATTTTTTTTCTTTTCCTCAATATTCTATTGATATAAACTACAATGAGTAAACTGTTACAGTATTTACTTTTTTCTCTGAAGCTATGGCTAAAACAATTCAACGGGAATAGTTGCAGACTTCATAAACTCGCATTCAACTCACATTTTACTGTTATCTATTTCTGGAAAGAATGAAAAATAACACATAGATATTCTATTATGAGAACAGCAAGAGGTGCAAGAGTGCACTCAAAAACAGTACTATAGCACTGCTTTTAGAACTACAGACGGCTTCTTCACTTAGCGAAGAATGCTTAAACCAAGCTAATATTCTTGCATTTCACTGAATCTTCAACCATCCGCTAACCCCTTCGCACTTCCTCCTATCACAAACATAGCGAGCAGTAATAATGTTTTTCATAATGGTCGATAATTTTAAAACACCCTCCCACGCGACACGAAAATTCCTTGTAACAGGTCATATGGACTGTTATTTCACAAATTCAAAGCTTTTAGTGATTCACGGGAGAAGATACACATGTATGTTTTTTGAAAAAAAAAGACAAAAATGTTAATTTTCCACCAATTTCAAAGCGATTTTCAACTGAAATATTATATTGTTTTTAAAAATTCCTATATTTATATTTTATTGCCTAAAACATTAGAAAAGATACATGAAACATTTAATCATATTCAAGACTATTTCAAAATACGGTATTATTATGCTTGAAAGTCCTAGATGAATTTCACTGGAAAATATTTCTACCCCCCCCCCCTTTTGAGAGCTGGAATCATGGCTAGTTTACTAATTAGCGCTGCTATTAAGACAATTCATCAATTACTATTGGGCTTTTCTTGTATTAAACAAATATTTCATGGCTAGAATGTCATTTATATTGAATAAAATGCGTGTAAAATATAGACAGGAATCGAGAGTTAGAGAGCGCAATTCTTTCTTATTGTGTCCGTTTATTCTGAGTAATGCTGATTATATTAACTAGTCCAAATGATACTTGAAAAGTTTCATTTTTTCTGGAAATTGTTAAAGCAAACTCAATTCAAGAATTTCCACATTCCCCCCTCAAACTTGACCGTGTTCACTTTTAACCCCCGTGCCACCTTAATTCAATAGTAAATCAAGAAATCATTAAAAAGGAATCTAGAAATTCTCGTCGGACTTCATCAAGCCATCTGTACTTGTTTTGAAAATTAACACTTTTTCGAGCTAACAATTCCCCTCCAACATACTTTGTTCCAGAAAGGGGTAGATATGTCATGCTATTAGCAAGAAAATCCTCCTACCTAACCATCTGGAATCATATTGTGTGCATTGTGTGGTGAGAAAGGTTGTACAATTGTGCGATAAAAGAGCTTCTTTAGTTTCCTCTTGTTTCTTTAATCACGTACCATATTTCTAACAAAAATCCTAGGCTATTCCTGATTTCCGATTTTTTGAAATTTGAAAATATAAATCTAACAATACAACCAGTTTGTTTTTGTAAACTGTAAATACGAAAGTACGAATACAGAAAAACAAGAGCTGGACAACTAAGATCATTTAAGACTTGCTATTTTTTCATTCTCAATAACTTATAATTTCATTGATTATGGAAATAATTAAACGAATTTTTAGTTTATTAATTAGGTTAAGGTTGATTTAAAAAAAAAAACATAGTAGAGCATATTATGCGTTCAGTTCCATTTTTACCGGGTACTTTAAAATATTTTAATTCTTTTATAAAGCTAAAAAAGGGTCGGGTAATTTTTCTTCTTTTTAAAGCAATTTCTTACACATATTTCTGGGAAGTGAAGTATGTAAATGATACATGGAATTATATGTCGATTAGAAACCGAGAGAAACCAAAACCTTAACAAAATTTATAATTAGAACTTGAGAAGGAAAAAAGGCCAAAATCAGAGTTGGTTTTCTCATGATTCTCATAATTAAAATGAATGTAACATTAAATGATGTAACATTTACTAACGTCTCGCAAAAAATTTGCTTGAACACAGTACATATACAGAGTTCTAGTCCTTGTGCTTCGTATTTTTCTAGGATTACCGATGCAAACATATATGTGAATAAACTTGAAACTATTACAATTTTTTTTTCATTTTGTAATGCTGATTTATTCATCAAATAGCAATGTTATTTGCATTCCCGATAGTCCGATTCATTCGTAAAATTTGACAATTAACGTTTATGGGTACATGTACATTTATTCTACTTTTTTATGTGAAGGGAAAAAGTATGTGTACTTTTAACAAACTTGTAAATTCTTAACAGAAGGGTTAAGATTATAGTTTACATTTTAGCTCACAGTCCATGGAATCTAAGGCATAAAAACATGGAAATAGAAGACAATACTAGTAGGTTTCTTTCAAAGTTTTACTCTGTTCATATGTTTAATGTTGATTGAATCCTATATAGCAATTTTTTTGTGATTAAAAATAAAGTTTTCAATTAGAATTATTAATAAATCAAATATTTAAAAAAATCAGATTTTGAAGAAGAATGTAAAGAGTTCCTACCATTACATCCGGGAAACATTCAAGGTAATTTCAAAAACTGTTAAAAGAAAACAACAATTTAATATTCTTTTTCAAAAATTTATTATGAAGTGTTACAAACTTTGGATAAATCAAAAGAAATTTAGTACATTTTCATTACAATGTTAAAAAATCAAAGGTATTAATTGATAAAAGTTTTTAATTTTGTGCATTACAAAATACTTTGCAAATTATACATATGTGCTTTTTTGGCACAGTGGTTGACCTTCAGTGATTGACATGCAATTACAATTATAACAGATGGAATCTTAATAAAAAGACTACATAATTGTTCTTTAATTTAGGGACAATAAATGAAAAAGAAACCAATTTCAATACTAAACAAATTGATGCTCAGTATAGCGTCAGAGAGGTTGGCGTAAGTAGTGAACCAGAGAAGAGAGAACACGATATCCAAAAAACAGGTGAGAGAATAATAATGTGTTAATTTGATTCAGAACAAATTGATCATATTGTATATGAACATGAAAATGAATATGAAAAGAACCGGAATCTTATGGACCTAAATCCCGATCTGAAAACAGAGAAAATGATGAGATAAGAACATTTCTAAATAAAACAAATCAAAATGGTAAAAATTTTATATTATCGATATTTTTCTGGTGTTTTTCTTGGTATGGTGACACGAACTTTGCGGATTTTGAATTTGGAAAGAGTATGAACCTCACTCCAGCTGCCCTATGAATCTATACGTTGTATAATCCATAATCAATTATTTAAAATACAAGAATTTAGGCTCAAAAAGTAAGTCCAATAAGAAAAAAGAACAATGAATCTTTTTTTTTGATTTTTGTCATTTAACTGAAGGCTCTATGTGGCAGAAAAAGTGAAATTCTATAGAATTAATGTACCCATTCAATTCAAACTCAAATTGTACGTAGAGGAACTCTTGGGAAAATTTTGAGAAAATGAAAGCTCATTTTAAAATGTTCGTGACGTCGAAGGAAGATTTTTGCTGTTCCGTGACTTAAAGATATGTCCTAATAAATCACCCAAAATTGATATCACTTTACAATAGTTTGATTTGAAATTTTGAAGTTCATATAAGTAAAAATTCTCTAATATTATGCATGACATTTGTCCAAATATGTTGTCAATTCTTTTTCGGTGCAACAAGTCTACGTAATTTTTAAACGGCCCTCGTAGATGGTTACTTTTTGCTAACGCATATTTAAAACTTATAATGCATTTATTTATATTGTTCCCACAGGCCCCTGACGTTACTTATTTTTCTTTTAATAAAAAAATACCTCTACCTAATACATTATTAGTTAGGCCGGGGTATACAAGTAATTTTATTATCTAAAGAAAAATAAGTAACGTAAGCTGCCTGGGATTGTTCCCTATTGTACTTAATTATACTTTGGCCACTTAAAGATATCGTAGAAGTTTAAAAAGACTTTATAAATCATATTCCAACTTGAATATTAAATAAAGACAAAATTATTTTCTTATAATGCATTTATTTATATTGTTCCCACAGGCACCTGACGTTACTTATTTTTCTTTTAATAAAAAAATACCTCTACCTAATACATTATTAGTTAGGCCGGGGTATACTAGTAATTTTATTATCTAAAGAAAAATAAGTAACGTAAGGTGCCTGGGATTGTTCCCTATTGTAGAATCTATATATAGTTACATTAAATAAGATGTATCATCACAGTAGCGAGAAGATGTATCATCACAGAAGCAATTTTTTAAAACTTGAGGTAGATGTTTATCAAAAGCTTCTCAGGCGTTCCCTCACTATCCAGTGGGCATAAATACCAAGTAAAATATTGTGTTTGAAAGTCCTCAATAAGTGAAATAATTCTTCAAGGAATGTAAAATTTCATGTAGTGAAACACTCCTTCAAGACACCGTAAAGTCTCAATAAATGAAATGATCCTCCAGGCAATGTAAAATCTCATTGAGAGAAATATTCTTTCAAGCAACTTTACACAAAAGGTATTATACAAATAATTTTGTATTTATGATATAAAACAACATGTAATCATTCGCTTTCCACATTGAAGCATGCCATGGATAAACTGAAGGCAGTACCATCCTTTTTAAATCCAAGGCAAATGCCTGTGATGGTTTGTAACCTTTATTTGTTCTTGCCAAAAGATACAATGAGAATGACTGAAGATTTATGGTGAAGATAGGTTTGTTGTTAATATGTTTGATGGGTTGCATGTTGAAATGGTAGCTATCAAACTGCTTGGTAATTTGTTGAAAGGAAGTGGTTGGATGACAATATCAAGCAGACACAAATTGCATATTCGGGAACTGCTGAGTCTTTCCTAACAATTTTTAAACTTGCTAAAGCAAGGCAAGATCATCAGATTAGTGCCTGCTGTCTGTATAACTTGATAAAAAGGCATACCGAAATGCAAAGGAACTGGATAATTGCAATTGAAAAAGATGAGATATTTTTCTTTGAGTGCAGAACAAGATAAAAAGATTTCAAAATTAAAATTTTGGTCAAGAATTCCTTTGGAACTCTCTGTCCTCTATTTTGTAAGGTCTTGCAAAGAATCAGATTCCATGTTTTACAAAGAATCTTAACTATTATCATATATGATTCCATATGTTTGGCTCTTGGTCACATCAATGATTCTCGTTAGCTACCATTTCACCTTCGGATGAAAACAAAGCACCCGGACATATACTAAGAATTTGAAAAAGTAATCTTTACCTTTAGAAAGAATAAAGTTAGTTTTCAAACATTGCCATTGTCAAGCCCATGAGCAGAACAATGCTAATGTAAAAGGTGCTGGTTAACTGAAGATCCAACTTCATTAAGGGCGACTTCGATTCGTACCCGAGTACGTACTCGAGTTACTTGAGTTTCAATCGAACGACCATAGTTACTACTCAAAATACGTCATATGACCTTATGAACTCTACCCAAGCTAACCCAGCCATACAGTAGGATTACTAGAGTTTCGATATGGCGGCGTCGAAAGAAAAACCCGAACGCAGGAATTATTTTTTACTAAATATTATGTTTAGCATCGCTTATCCTTAAAAGCAAACTTCGAAACACACTTTCTACATGAACGCTTTATAATTTATATGAATATATATTTATTTGATTAGATTTTTCAGGCTTACTGCCCGATAACAGCAGAGACATAAATTCAAATTCGAAACCAAAAAAGTTCAGAGCTGAAAAAGAAAAACATTTCGACTGCAACAAAAGCTACAGAAAATATTAACTCAACAGATGATGTCAAAATGGACCTATTCGACCGCCTTTTAAAACTCATAGAGGAAATTTATTTTATTTTCGCTACCCTTCAAACTCATATGAGTTCGCTTGGAAAGCACATGTTTATGTAAACATCCGGTCATGTGACGTCAACCAAGAGTTAATACTCGGGTATGAATCGAAGTCGCCCTTAGGTGCTGGGTGGTAGGTGGGTCAGAAATCATCAGACTTACTGAAAAGGCACACGAATATGTGAAAATGTTCACGAGAAAAAGGAAAAACATCACAAGAAACCCTTGCTGCTCAGAGAGTTTTTTTAAAATAAATTGGACTCTGTCTATGTTTTTGGAAATGGGAAACCCATTTGAAGAAGAGTCGCTGGATCTTTATAGTTGTTGTCGAAACTGAAACTGCAGATGAAATATTGAAAATAGGAGACATTCATTGGGAAAGAACAATACATGGAAGTCCTTTTAAGAATATGTGAAGGTGATAATCCGGGTTTGATGAACCTGATCATAAGAATATATTTCGCTTATTTTATCCCAAACCAAAATCTGATTTTTCAAAGTCAAGTTTGGCAAATTTTATTGACTAGCCGTTTTTCCTATTTTTTTTTAACTTTCTGCCAGAGTAGCCAATGCATTCTACAATATTGTTTTCCAACATGAAAACAAGCACCCCCTCTTTTTCACTAAATTGTTTGTTAAATACGGTTGTTAAGTCTCAATTGATATCCATTTTGGAAGCAGGTCAAATGTTGCCACATAATGTACCAACAGTTGATACACTGGGAATTGGCAGTGCGTTTTAAGTCAATTCAAAAACAACCTGGACAAAGTCGAAATTTTAACTAATATATCAATGTCATTATCATTCCGCACATTAATTCTCTTGTAAAAGGTACTTTGAGGGTAGACACTGTCTTCGGTGTTTAGAAAAGACGATAGTTTCAAGGCAGAAACTGAACGGAAGTGTGGCATGGGGTCAAGACGAAAAGTAACTGGAAACACTAGACCACCAAAGTCATGGAACACTTTCCTTCAATGTGACGAGAACAAAAATAAACTATTTGGGTTTTAGCAGACACAGTTATATTTTCTATTACAGAGGCAACTGCCAGTGTAGCAAAGGAGGAAAATGTTGTCAGTAAAGCAATAGATACTGACTTTATACCACTTTGCAACCATAAAGAAGCTGACAACCGCATGTTCCTTTATACAAAACATGCAGCACTGGATTGTGGCTAATATACAAACGTTGTTGTCATTAGTGTTTATCTTTTTGATGAATTAAATATGAATCAGTTATGGATGACACTTTGAAGGGGCAAAGGTTTGGGATGGATACCAATTTATGATGTTGTTAGATCACTGCGACCCAGATCAATGCATATTGATATTCTTTCATGCATTCACGGGTTGTGATACAGTATCGGTCTTTGTTGGGAAAGGTATAAACACAGCATGACAGACTATGAATATGTTTGATAACGCAACAGAAATATTCCAATTGTGAAGCACTCCTTGTGGCAATTTGACAGAACCTATAATCAATGTACTAGGAGACAAAATTGTTATCATTATGTTTGATCAGTAATGCTAATAACGTAAATGACACGCGCCTTGATCCCCTCACTCAAGAGTTGCTCTTGTAGAGCATATTACGAGAATTTAATTGCAGGATGGACATTTATTAGGTCAGTCCTTATGCAAGTTGCTAACTTTACAATCACCTTCCAGGTAGGATTGGGAAAAAGAATGCGGATTTTGGGTCTTACACTGGACAACTTCTTGCAACTAGAATAGGTGATATCACCTTTTCAAAATCTGAATAGGTTACATCACCTATTGGGATAGGTGATATCACTTTTTGGCAGTAAATACTAAAACGGCACTCACTGATGCATTATTCAAGAACTACTAGATTGTGAGGTGTAAAATAACTTCAACTACTTCATATCCAAATAACCTTGCACTGCTTTATGCAGCTGTACACTGTTCAGAAGATGGAGTCAGTTATGTCATTAAAACAGCTTTTGTTTGTATTTAAGCGCATGCCCAGTGCATGTATGTATAAAATAGAGCTCAATTTATATCATATACAAAGTTCCCTTTTATTATTCCAGAAGAAATAAAAGTATTACCAAGAAAACTTTCAAAATATCAGGAAAAAATTATTAAAACAGACGCCGTTTTGAATTAA